GCGATATTATCGGATAATATCAATAATTACATCTATTAGATTGTCACTAGATTAGTCCTCTCTTACTGTCTGAACCCCTCGATACTATCGATATTATCAAAAATTATCCAAAAAACCTAGTTATTAACTGACTGTATTTCTTGATATCCGATATTTATCTGATATTATAACACTATCGATATTATCAAAAATTATCCAAAAAACCTAGTTAACTGACTGTATTTCTTGATATCCGATATTTATCTGATATTATAACACTATCGATATTATCAAAAATTATCCAAAAAACCTAGTTGACTGAATGTATTTTTTGATATCCGATAATGATATTTATGTATAGTTTAAAACACGAGAGAGAGTGTTTTAAACGGCTTAAAAAACTCCAACACTAATTTGAAACTCAAATCCGTTAAAATTCTTGGAGAAATTGCTGTACAAATATGTTCAGAGATAAATGGGCCAAACTGATCATGCGCGAATCACTTTACAAAGCAATCTTGTCATCCCACATTGAATACGCATAAAGTAAAATAGAACCACTCATGGCTATTCACTGAAATCGGTTGACATCCTACATTGGTCAATGATCAGGTTTCAAACCTGAGACCTTTGCTAGGGTCATGGACCTTTATATCTGATAAAGGTCACCCTTATTAGTATTCTTTATATAAAGAATACGTCTAATAAGGAGTGTTTTATCAGATATAAAGGTCCATGCATGTGACCAAATAGGCTCATTCTATTGGCCTAGTAGCTCATTAATTATTATGTACATGAGTTTTTTAAGTGATATATTATAACACTATCGATATTATCGAAAATTATCCAAAAATCCTAGTTAACTGACTGTATTTTTTGATATCCGATATTTATGTGATATTATAACACTATCGATATTATCGAAAATTATCCAAAAATCCTAGTTAACTGACTGTATTTCTTGATATCCGATATTTATCTGATAATTATAAATAACACTTTATCAATTTTATCAAAAATTATCCAAAAAACCTAGTTAACTGAATGTATTTTTTGATATCTGATATTTATGTGGTATTGTAACACTATCGATATTTTTAAGGTTTGTTATCGATGTTGACGAAATTAGATACGAGGAAAATATCGACGTAACTATCGGATAAACAATATTCTGTTGATACCGCACCTAAATGCGCATCCGCGCATAATTCTGACATGCCTGAACAAAAACTAAAAGATGTAACTTTATTTATAAATAAAAAAGTTCAAGATCCTTTCAGGGAAGGGGGTTATGTAGCATAGGGTATACAATGGCATAAAYTTTGTTTAAATAGCACCTAAATTACCTGCAAAACCCGAGCACATAGCTGATGCAGCAATGGCAATCCCTCCCACAAATGCATTTTGTTTTGGTGCAGTTTTTGTTTCATTTTTAGTTTCTGTATTTGTTGGTTGCAGCTGTACAATTGAGACACCAACAAACAATAAAAATAGAGAAAACCACTGTAATTTTCTGAGAGGTTTCTTCAGAAGCAGGACAGAGAGAAATGCTGTAGTGAGTATCTTTAATTGGTAGGTAACCTAAACAAAACAATACATCATGATTGCAGTTATCAGAAAGATCCATAACTTGAACCTTTGTCATCATGAATGTAAATGAATATAATACACATGTACTGGTGTTAACATTCCAGACGTCAAAAAGGTCAAACATCACTCAGGTAAAAAAGTAAACAAAAATAATGATTTTGTACCTGATARGTTGCAGCTTCCAAATTAGAAATTGCCAGATAGAGTAAATTATTCTGTACAGTGTAAATCAATGCTGGGACAGCCATTTTGAGTGTATCCAYTGGATTACAGATGGTGGATGAATAAACATATTTGAACCCTTCTTTTATATCTTTTTTCTCCCATAATAATACAGCTAAAGACACTAGAACCTTAATCACCTATCAGATAAAAATGTGAGACTTCATATASATCAATACTGAGACTTCAATATAGATCAATAAAGAGATGGATTTTATATGTAAATTTCATCTAAGGTTATCCGACAAGAACAGCAAATATGTTATTGTCATGTTACTGTTCGTTCACTAGTGTATATACACCTAATTGAAAAAACGTAGTCGTGTTGGAAAAGGTCACATCATTGAAGCTATGACCGAAAGGTATTTTCACTACCACTAAATTAGGATCATTACATTTGCATATACGGTGTACACTAAGCAAGTAGAGCTAGTAAGATTTATTTAACAGCATGATAGTCTTTTATGCTGGAGAGCTGTTTGTTATGAAATTAGCCAAATTGTTTGTCTTCCCAAGTACCCTTTCGGTCTTAGCYTCAATGATTTGACCTTTATGGAGCCGACAATGTTTCTTCAATTAGGTGTACATGTAMTAGATAGAGTATGCTGACAATTAATATGGAAGAGAAAAGGGTGACATGTAGAATGGACCAGATTATTATTATATTAGAAGTGTCTAAATACACAATCACGTAGCCTGSGAGCAGAGGATTTTTCTATCCCCTTGTATGAAGAAAAAGAAAAATACTTCTACCACAGGACAGTTAGTTCTTTTCATGTTACTGCCTCCAAAACCTTGGAGGTAAACCATATGATCACTCCACTTGACTAAACCAGTTGTTTAAAAGTTTTTTTCACTGCTATGCCCTTTKTACTATCAGTTCACTAACTGTTGAATTTCTGAGTCTTCAAAAGTGTCAAAATGGTGAACATTACAGCGAAAGAAATTAAAGCACTTTTGAACTGTTTTACTCTATAACAACCGAAGTGTTGGAATGGAAAATCTTCTGCTYGCAGGGTAAAAATCACAGCACTTTGAGATATTGCAATTGCCTCATGTTTAGACACTAATCAAGCCGCCAATGGCAACACAACTCCAAAATTGATTGTGTAAACAAATACGGAACAATATGATGAATCAAATTATAATAATTACTTAACAAATAGAATTTTAAGTAAACGATTTATGAATATACCTATTTTTTTTTTCATTTAATATTATTTTTTTTATYAAAATTKAACTTYGGTTCTGGAAAAGCAAAATCCCAGTCTATTGTAGCCACAACTATGCAGAATTTGCGATTGTTGTGGAAATGCTGCCATACCACTAGCGTTACATCTGGACGATATGGAAACGCAAATAAAATCACCGCAAGTGTCAAAAAGCAATAATAACAATCCCTAAGTAAACACAACTTTGCCTCAATGCGAATCAACGATCAATATCTCGGGAGTTCAATTAAAGCAAAAAATAACTTCAACTAACAGCCAAATAGTAGCCAGTTTTAAAAWGGGACAATTTCTTAAAATATCTGAGTCTATTGGAGAGAGAAATTTGAGTTTTATGTACATTTTTGTTAAATCATAAGTGTGGTTTAAGTCATTTTAGTAATCAACCTAGATAACAAGAAACTGTCAATTAGTAAGTATGCAAAGAAATTTTGTATTAGTATCTATAAACAACAGATGTGTAGCATGATTCAAAACCACGAGTTATAAATTTAATTCAGATAGTGTTTCAACGTMAATGAATAAAGGAGTGCAAGAAAGGATACAATCCCTTTGATTGCGAGCTGCATGGAGCTGGAAAATTCTAACATAACATAACATAATCCTATTTAGCGCTTATCCAATTCTGTTCTAAGCRCTTTAAAACTACATGACAACTACAAAACACATGAGAGTCTTGGTAGACTGTGAGCTTGAGTTGGCGCCTCTGGCTGCCGCTGCACAGTCCGTCCCAAGATCTCAAACTAAAAATTAAAGTACAACAATCAGATTTACATCACAATAAACAAGTGTTTTTGCATGATGCCCGGTGGCTTAACCAAGCTCATTCGCGCTTTGACAGGTTTTGTTTTTAGTCCTGCTGGGTGTCATGCCACCCTCCTCACCAGTGTAGACTGGTGGGTGTGCCGGTTTAGACGCMGACGACCCGTCCATGAGGCAGGTTGTAAAATTCTACGACAGAGCCTTCATATTAACTTAGGTTCTCAATAAGCACAGGCCAGTACCTTCGTACAATCCTTTTCGAAACGAATTTGGAGGATCGGTCAGTCTTCCTCATGGTTGCTTTGACCTTTGTGACTGAGCAGTACAAAGAATTAAATTATAATTGCTTTAAAAATAGAATTTTAAGCAAACAATTTTTTTKKTWAAAWYYWAWTWWTTTTWAMYTYSRMTYYTKRMMAMCMRGGG